TCTTGAAATCCATTTTAAAAGGAGGAGGGAAAAAATCTGGGATGGGAGGAATGCTTAAAATAAATAAATAAATTGATTAATTAATTTAAAAAATTGGGGGTGGGGGGATTTCTCTCCCTCTCCCCCCACCCCACCCCGTGCCACCCCCTTGGTGCCTGGTGTCCCCGAGCACCCGGAGGGATGCCTGAGGAGGAGGAGGAGGGATGCTCCGGCGGCCGGCGGGGCGGCAGGGTTAGGGTTGCCTGCCGCCGGCTCAGACTGGTTTCTGGAAAGTGCTTTGTCTCGCAGGCTGCATCCTGGGAAGGGTCATGTGGAGCCCAGTGATGTCATGGGATCAAAGCCTGACTCAGCTCCGCGTCCGATGGATGGGTGTCCGCAGGTACCGAAGTGCGGGCTGAGATGTCAGAGCCCACCAGGAGCAAAACTTCCCGCGCCTCCGGCAGGCGAGGAGTTAAGCCTGGTTCCCCCGAGCCCAGCGCTTCCTCTGCTGCCTGGAAAAGCCTGGCTCCTTCACCAGGAGGGGAGAAAGTCTCAACTTGAGTATTACAATGGCAGTGCCTTAGCGCCTGGCGGCAGGCTGTCAAGAAATATGGAAGCCTCTCTTCACGCAGGGTGTGGTGGTCCTTTTCCCCATAGTGTCTGATTCCCGAAACTTGCAATCAGGCTTAGGTCCTCAGAAAGACATGGCAGCAGTCCCAGGGAGATCCTAATCTAGAATTTTGTAATTGCATTTATTTGCATGTGAGGCGAATACATACATTCTTCCTGCCTTTTGGTAAAGAGCCAAACTTCTTTCGTTGTGGGGGTTTGTATATTCTTATATTCTCCTGTGCTCTAATGCAGGCTTTTTTTTTCTCCTTGTTGATTCTAGTTTGTGCTTAGCGGGGTTTGTGTGTGTGTTCTTGTTTTACCTTTTTTTGTTTGTTTGTTTTTGCTTAACATAAAAAGTGTAAGTACAGTGATGCCGGGTGCTTAAATAGCTTCAGACTGAGATGTATATTGAAGATAGGGTAAGTGAGCGTACTGGCAAAACTTCTATTGCTCTTTCTGAACTTCTTTTGCAGTAACCGCTGTACTTTGCCCTGTTTTGAAATTAAGGTGTTTTGTCCAACTTACTTTTTTTTCCAGCGTACTTAACTCATTTGTGTCTCCTCTCTCCCCAGAGCCTCACAATGACAGAGGAAGCATGCAGGACACGAAGTCAGAAACGAGCGTTAGAACGTGAGATAACGCATAACGATGTGGACAGTAAAAAAATAAAAATGGAGAAAGGACTATTAGGAACAGATATAAATGCTGAAGGCGACATGAAAATAAAAACAGATCCTGGAGCTGGAAAAGTGCAAGGATTATTAAAAAGTGGAGAGGTGAAAGCAACCATTAAAGTGGAGGTTCAGACGGGAGATGAGCCTGTGGACATGAGTACCTCAAAAAGGTGAGTTAGGACCTACATGCTGCAGTTGCACTGTGACATTTGGGATACCGGCACAGCGAAATGTGGTCAGATGGCACTAGGATGAAGTTCTCTGGATCTTAGAGGTAGAGAGAATTAAAATTTTACATGTGTGTTGCAGCTCTGGCTCTTCACATGAGATTCAACAGCTACTTCTGTCTAACTTCCTTACTGACTTTTCTTCCACAAGCTTTTACAGCAGTGGCAGCTGTGATGAGCAGCTGAGTAAAGAAATACGGTCTTGAGTAGAAAAATGCACAAGTTACAAAGAGGATGCGCTTTGACCTACTGATTCAGATTTATGTGAGGAAGAGTGGTTAGGGTTTTTTTAATTGAGCTGTGATATAGGAAAAGTAATAGATTATAATTGTCTGAACAGAGGAGTTTTAATTGCGACTTGGATTATTCCTGACAGAGCAGTATGTATGGATAAGTCTGACTTTCTTTTTGAAGTAACTTGTGGATTTTGACACTAGAAGTATTAGGAAAAGACAGCACCTGTCTGCAGCAATTCTCTCTAGGACAAGTTCTTAATACTTTTTTGAAAGTCCAGCCTCCTTAAAGTGTCTGAATTTTGACATCTGAAAGCATGAATTCAAAGTTCCTTATCACTTCGGAGAATTTTATTACTACAAAAATGTAAAGGTTTTCCTTTGACTCGTATATGAGATACGCACATGAATTGGGTAGTTCCGACATACAGATTTACAGCATCACTTAAAGCCAGATTCCAAATCTTCCACCATATTTCTAACCCAGATTTTGGCTGTACCAGGATAAAAATTCTGTGGCCCTGATGTTGGCCCTTCAAGGTCCTGCTTTTTTCTTTATAGTGCAGTAAGATCCAATATATTGAGCAGGAAGTCTAGAATCCTCGTTTATTCCTGGTTCTGACACCAGCTGATGTTGGAGCAGTAATATGTTTAGAACTGAGACCTCCCTGTCTGTGCAAAATGGCTTAAACAGTTCTCGGAGTAATAAATTTGTGTTCGCTTGGATGTTGGGTATTACAGGAGTGCAGATTTGAGGTGTGAAACTGAAAACACGAGATCCTTATCAACTGCGCAGGAATTATTGGGCGGAGGGGTGCTTATGGGTGCTACTGAGAAAATAGGTATCTTTGATGTTTAATGGCAATTCATCTGTAAACTTTTCCCAACTTTTTATGCTTTTCTAAGAGAAATAACGTAGACTGCAAGAGCCTGATTACTTTATCCAAGTACGGCTTCAGTATATATAAAACAAGACCTCTTCCATCAGCGTGATTGAGGGAATGTAATAGTTTTCAGCTTTCTTCATAAAACTTCTGCCAAAAGGACAATTACACAAGTTGCTCAATTTGATATTTAGGAGGTGCTTATGTCTTGCACAGAAGCAGTTAATTGGGGTAATGGATGACTTCCATGTCAAGCAGTTGTATTGTGCTGACTAGGAGTAAATCTCGGAAGGTGTCTTTTGGCATAATCACTACCTACTAATTAACACAAGTATGCACGCTCTTTTTTTGAAGAATATCTAAAAAGATTGCTCATACCAAAAATTGAATAAATTAGAATCAGGTATTCTAACCCTTTTGTTGCAGTACTTGCCCCCACATGCATATGCTCTTTGTGAATTTATAATATTATTGAAATGTGTGCCAGTGTTTCTGCTCTGTTGGTGTCGGTCTCTGCAAGACGTGCAAACAGAATGGTGAACAAGGGGCTGTACGCTTAACTTCCCAGAGAGCATCTGGAACAATAACACCTATTTAGGTGAGATGAGAGAACATCCTCTCTCCGTACAGCGTTCTTATTTCAGGTGGTAATAGGATATTGTTGTATTCAGTTTCTGCGAGGAGGGAGAAGAGGCTTCCCCATACAAAAAATATGCTTGCATAAGGAGGCAGCCTGATCCCAATTCTGCTGAAGTTAATAAATATAATTAAGAATTTCGTGAGGGTCTGGATAAGCTCTTTGGATACTGTTTGTAAGTTGGAACACCTTTCATAATACATATTTGTGTAAAATTCTTAATAGAGAGGAATTAAACCCTGGGTCATCTCAAATGACAAAAATGAGCCTGAATGATTTTGCAAACTTCTGGAAGTAAGGCAGCAACTTCCCAGGCTCTGGGGCTCTGCTCCTGCATCGTGGTGGTGCCCTTGGTCCCTGCGTGGCTCCGCTCCCGGAGCATAAACGTGGCGCTGAGCAGCTGACCGGCCTCAGGATACAAATATCTCCAAGCGAATGCAATCTGAGTCTGGAGATGCCTGTGATAGAGGGGAAGTTTGTCTCTGGATGAGTCTGATCCCTTGCATATATAAGAATACAATTGGCATTTGTAGAGAAGGCGGATCTTAATTTCATAAGGGTGGTTTTGTTTTTTTTTTTTTTTTAAGTGTGGGACTTACCTTTCCAGACCTTTGATCTTCAGAGGAATTTAGCTTGCAGCTTTCCTAAGACCTGTGTCTTTAAAGCTGTTGAGCTGATCTGTTGAGGAGATGAAAAAAGAGCCGTTGCTTAAAATGACTGAACTGCTACAAACTTCTTGGGTAAAATTCATGCTTCGTGATGTATGGTGTTTGGCTTTTAAACTTCCTTAATGCTTTTAGAACTGAAAACATAATATTTTCCTTGGAAAAGGTGGCCCAGCAGTAATCACAGTTTAGCTGACGTAAAGCTGATTGAATGGATTATCTTTCTGAAATCAGTTGATTTTCAAGATTTGAAATACAAACCTGGCAATATCTCTGTGTTAAACTTAAAAATATATTTCTTTTAATATTTTTTTTTTTTCCTAAACCTTGAAGTTAAATTTAAAAATAGGATCTGGTTTGAGCACATTTTCTGATGCCAGAAGAAACAGAAGAAAGTCTGTAGTGGTAGAAGTCTTTGATGAGAGGTCACACAAGGCCAAACCAAAATCTTGCTCCTTTGCCTGGCGCTTTTGCAGCACTGGGAGCTAGCTACGCTGGTGTGTAATTATCCCAGACCTACTGCAGAGAAGGAATGGGAGGAAGGAGAGTCCTCTCCTCTTGATAAGGCATGTCTCGCTTGCAGTGGGGTGGTAAAATAGCGCAACGTAAATCCCTTTGCTTGTGAATACACCGATTTACATCAATATGGGTGCTGGAGGGAAAGAACATTTGTCAAACCTGGTTGAATCTGACATCTTACCGTGCTTTCAAGCTCTGCTTTCTCTTTCCTCTGTTCTTCATCTCCCTCTGTTCTTTCCTTCCTCTTAAATACCTGAGTTTCCTACCACATTTGCCCTGCATTGAGCATCAGTTGCCTCCAGCTGAGGCTGGGGCTTTCTCCTGGAGCTGTTCTTGGATTGTACTGCCTGCTGCATCACGTTGCATTTATTGTACTCCAGATTCAGCTCCCTTCATCTACGGTACACGTTCTGACCATTTTCCAGGTTTTTTTTCTACTACCATTTCCTGAACCGTACGAAATGAACTTGTTCCGTACGCAGTACTGCTTAAGCTTGTATTTCTGGTGTACTCACAGTAAGGTTTGGCAGAGCGCACGAGTGATCTTTCTGGACACAGTCGTGTAACTGGCTATCTGGATGGGAACTGCTGTCCTCAGACAGGTCGACGGGGACAGATTGCCCTCTCTTCTGGAGCAAAAACATCAGGATCCTTCAGGAGCAGTGTACTGTTAGCCCAATTGTAGGAAAACCTTGCTTATAAATAGAGGTGGGGAGCGTTACAGGCAAGGATACTACTTGACCCTGTAAGCAGCTGTGTTGTGCTTGGTTGTTGCGCTGTGCTAGCTTAAGTCCTCAAAATTATAGTAACTACAAATAGATAGCCTCAAAATATGTTTTACTTCAGAATTCTAAAAAGCGAGCTTCTATACAAGGAAAGATTGAGAAAATAGTTTTGTCACAGCACACAAGCGTGATGGCAATGGTGAGGGTGGTACTGTTAAAACAAATATAAGAGTTGGCTTTGGTCTTCCCAGTTCTTGCTTTGTCTTGTTAGCAATCTTGGGATGAACATGTCCTCTGTAAAGCAGACTGGAAAGCATTTTAGGCATTGAACATCTCACTGTTTTTCCTGTATTTCCTCTATTTGCCAAGAGTGGTAAATTAGCATATTAACTATCTTATTTGTATTAATTGTGTCTTGATCAAAAAGTTTAAGGCTGGCTGATAAACAGAAATTATTCCTACAGATTTTGTATCAGTTGAGGTCTTACTTTTTTAAAAAACAAAAAACAACAACAAAAAACCCAACAACATCAAAAAACCCCCGCATTTCCAAACCACTATATATATTGTGTCGATAACTGTGTCATCTTCTCACATCAAGTTACAGAGTCTGGATTTTCCTTCCAATTGTAATACAAGTCTGGATAAGCCAAAAAGTCTGCATTTGATATGTTTGGTTTATTTTCCACAAAAATTGCTTGCACCCATGTATTGTCTCTTGATATGTGGTACACACAAGTATCACATATACCCACAGCTTTAAGCTCTTGCTTCTTGAACTTAATGTGAGTTGGCCTGACTTAAGCCACTGCTTGTTTGCTTAAATAAAAACTGCCAGGAAAGATGAGACTGAAGCATTTGTAGGCATCCCTGTAGTTAGTGCTCTCAGGCAAATAATTTGTCTGAACTCTAGTTCCTTTAATTTTAGGTCTTGCTGGTTATGATTTTTGTGCTTGACAAATGTTGCACTGCTCTGGAACCTCAGAGTAATTCTGTTCTCCTTTTGTTACATGAGATAATTAAAAATAATATCTAATAGAAATTGTTTTGAAGTTGTATGAAAGTTGGCTTAACGGCTGTGCTCTGAATTTTCGTGTTAGGGTTTGGATGCTGATTTGTGGTGCTTTGAAGGATTTTAGGTTGGTTTGGGGTTTTTTGTTTTGTCTTTTTTCATCTGGCCAAATCACATTTAAAACTTCCTAAATGAATGGATTTGACTCTGAAATTCTAACGTGTTCTTAAGCACATCAGGATGCAGCCTGTGCTGGCTGACCAAACTC